CCCGTCGACGCACTCATTGACAGAGCAATCGCGCGGTTCGTCAGACCAGTCGCCGCAGTCGTTCATACCGTCGCACAGTTTGCCGACGGGAATGCATTTGGCGGGCAAAGAGTCCGCGCACTCGTGCTCTACAGCCGTACACAGAGTCGTGTTGGGCGTCGCCTGTAATGATATGGACATCAGTTATGATGATAATTACATAGACATTATCGCATATTCTTACCGATTCGTCCACCTTTTCGGGACAGTTGTGTTCGTCGGACCCGTCGGCGCACTCGGGTTTTCCGTTGCATTTCATGTTACCGGGAATACAATTGCCGTTTTTGCACCCGAATTGGTCCCTATGGCACGTGTAGTTGCAGTTCACTTCGTCCGACCCGTCCGTACAATCTTTACTTCGGTCGCATCTGTGGTCGCAAAACAAGTGGATTAGATTTATGTCTATCTAATTGACCAAAATGCTTGTAAGACAAACCTCCACAGAGTGCTGATACACTCGTGTCCGTTGGCGCACAGGAACTCCGACGGCCCGCACACCGACTCGACGTCTTTGGTGACGACCGGACAGCCGGTCTCGTCGTCGCCTTCGGGACAGTCTCTGTCTCCGTCGCACTTCCATCGGTCGGGAATGCATTTGCCGGACAAACACGTGAACATTCCCGGAGTACACGTCTTGTTGGAACAGATATGCGACGACTCATCGGATCCGTCGCCGCAATCGTTCTCTCCGTCGCAAATCCATCGGTTTATCAGACATTTTCCGTTATCACACGTGAACTCGTTTTGAAGACAAGACGCTAATTCGGTTTCTATGGATCAGATCAATGGTTAGGTACAAAAGTTAGTGTTGTGTTGTTTTTTATGATAATTTCAAACAAATGGTATGACTGACTGCATTGTTTCTCATCTGATCCATCGGTACAGTCCTCCATATCATCGCAAACCCATTCATTTGGTATGCAATTACTGGTCGACACGCATTTGAAGTGATTCTCAGCGCACGTGTGGTTCGCTATAAAAGACAAAAAGTGAACATGGTTAGTTTTCATTCGTCATTAAATGGCAAAATCAATTTTACCGCAATTCAATTCATCGCTTCTGTCGCCGCAATCGTCTTCATTATCACAAATCCATCTGAAAATAAAATAATTTATTTAAAACTAGTGTCAAATTTTGCTAAAAATTTTTTAATAAAACCATTTAACTGTCAATTTGTATAAAAATTATAATTATAATTGATTTGAGTTTTAGATAACAAAAAATTAAATCAAAAACATAATAAATTATTAAAAGTGTTACAAATATTTGTTTTTTAATGAAATATAAAACAAATAATGATATATTTAGTAACTAATAACTGGTTTAAATGACACGATAATTGATTAATTAGTTAATCAATCAAATCAAACAAAAAACACAACTCCTGAGAGCGTATAATTGATTTAGTTATGCGATAGTGTTTTAAAAATATAATAAAATTAAAAATGTAAATTTGAAACATTAAAAATGAACATGATCAGATCATACTTATGGGGCAAACATTTTCCATTTTGACACTTGAATTCATTTTCGATGCAACTTTTGACGACTAAACGAAAGGAATATAAGATTATAATTAATAAATTGCTTCAAAAATCTGTAAATAACTTAATATAAGTATAAGAAAAGTCTGTTTTCCAAAAAATAGGAGAAAAACTTTTGAGAGCATAAGAGATAATAAATTACATTAATTATTCAGTAAAAATTAATGCAAACAATTTAACTGATGGTAACAATGACTTGATTTAATACATGTGTGTTATCTCTCGTTAAACGATATATGTTATCAAAAAATGTTGATCTCTTTCAAGAAAGACAACAACAAAACATAACAAAATTTAATGTTAAGATATTATGTAAATTTAAGCTAAATATCAGAGTATGTATTGATGTCAAGTGCAGCGCCGGTACATGTCTTGGATATAATCAAATTATATGTAAATATAGCACTGATTAATAATCTTATACTTAATTGACAGCACAAGTAAAACAAATAGCAAAAAAGCTTAAATTGAAAAACTTGTTTCCTTTTTAATTATATTCAATCAATTGATCGTTTTGTTTCTCATACCTGTTTAATAGTATTTTAAATGTACCGATAATTAAAGTTTTCAATGATATTGTCGACAAATTTTTTTATCATTTATAACTAAAACAAAACTTTATTTAATTTAAAGAACAATAATTTTGTGGAGTTTAGTGTTGGAAATTATAGTAAAGTTTGTATTTTGTGTAACACATGATAACTCTGTGACACAAATAATAATTTGATTTACATTCAGATATACTTTAAAATTTTTAAACCAAATAAATCAATCATTCAATGCATAATTATTTCAGTGAGTGAGTGAGTGAGTGAGTGAGTGAGTGAGTGAGTGAGAGAGAGAGANTCATTCAATGCATAATTATTTCAGATAGTGAGTGAGTGAGTGAGTGAGAGAGAGAGAGAGAGAGAGAGAGAGAGCAATCATAACCGCATTCTTACAAAACAAATGCTTTCTTTCTCTTTCGTCAGATAATAATTTTATTGTAAATGTTATGCTATTTATAACTTATGGCGTGATTTCGTTGGCATATAAATAGCTATTTAACAATTGTCTCCATTTAGGAGACAATTATATAATTTACGAAACAGGAAAATGCGGTCATTTGGCAGACACTGTGTTATACTAACAATTATTTGCCAAACAAAACGGATAATCCTTTAATACCAATAGATATCCGATTCCTATATATTCAATATACAGTACACTTTATATGAAATTCTAACTTAAATGCACTGTTCGTGTGGCTAAACAACATGTGCTAAACAGACAGATATTAATTTCAATAAAGCTTTTATTAAAAAGTCAATAATATGTCTAAATATTTGGTTTTTTAGACATAAATAGATGTCATAAATCTTTATCTCAATTGTATTCAGCGATACAATGATATGTGAAATGAAAGACCAGTTTATTATGACATGAAAATATAAATGAAAAATATTTGTATACAAAAATAAAACTCAAAAACAATTTTCTGTATTCTTTGATAAAAATATAATAAAAGTCAACAAAAATAAAACAATTTTTAAATGTATATAAAAAAGCTTTAATCAATATTTTTTGCGATAAATATTTTTCTGGATGTGAATCAACAAAAATTTATTATCAGTCATTAAAATTGAATTTCAAAGTCTATGTATTGATTAAATTTTAACTTATGTTTCACTTAGGGAACGTTCACATATTACGTTCGCACTTTTTAAGAAATCTAGACCCCCCCTCCCCCCTATGTTCGCACTTTGTTCGCATGTAGTCATTTTTAAAAATAACGTTCACAAATTACATTCGCACTTGGGGGGAGGGGGGGTCGGCCAATGCGAACATTTGCGAACGAGGGGAGGGGTAGAGTCCTGAAGGACGTTCGCATTTAAACAATTTAAAGAGCTTAAGGGATTAATTTTTAGTAAAGTTATTCTTTTAATAATAACAGTTTGATAACAAACTTTACTGTACTGTAAGGTGAATACGGGATAATTAATAAATGCTGCCTTTGTATTATATTATTTCTATTAATTATCCTGTATTCATCTTACATATATTTACTTTACAGTACAGTTAAATAAATATAAGACTTTTGAATAGAAATAGTCTTATTTCCAGATATTCTTTGTCTTCAATG